TAACCACCCCCCCCACCCAAACCACCAAACTAACCCACTCCCAGGCATATACGCCACCCCGCGCGCACCCCCGGGCCCTCCCCACACCGATTCCATCCCACCCTTCCTCTTCCGCCCGCCGCTCTCACTCCTCGCGGACGCGGCCTTCACGACCATCATCCAAAGCGTGATCACGTGGCTCTGCCTGGTGGTGCTGGTCAACGGGGCGCTCTCGCGGGGCGTGGTGGCGCCGCACGCGCCGCGCGGGCGGCTGCTGCTGGGGCGGGAGCCGCGGTGGCGCGGGGCGCGGTGGTTCTGGATGCTCGACCACTATAACCGGGCGAGGGGCAGTTCGTGGTCGTGGTCGGGGCCGGGGCGGTGGGGGAAGGGAGGGCGGGTGGGGAGGTGGGTGGTTTTGTGGCTGGGCGCGGTGGGGAGGGGGTTGCTGGTGGCGGTGGGGGCGTTTGGGGTGATGGTTGGGCCGATGATTGGGGTTTGTGTGGCGGCGGGGACGAGGTATGAGGGGGATTGGGTGTTTTTGGGGCGGTGGGATGGGGCGGTGTTTAAGGCGGTTTATGGCGGGGTGTTGGGCTTGGTGCTGTCGCCGGCGCTGGCGTGGATGTGGATGTTGAGGGCGGGGTGGATTGTGAACAGGCATGCGGTGGTTTAGGTGTGGTTGAGCTGTGGTTGAGGTGGGTGATTAGGTGTGGTTTAGGTGGGTGGCTAGGTGGGTGAGTGGTTGCGATGGCAAGGGGTTAATTTGAAATCAGGATTCTTGTTCTTTTTTTCCCTCTCGAGTAGCGCACTGCTTGCTCTGCTCGGACAGCGACGCGGCCAGAGCCATGCATGGGTTGAATCCGGGATTATATTAGAATTAATGGTAATATGGTAAACACTTCTTTTTCTATGCTGGCGGAAGAAACGACGCAAACAGCGCGCCTTGGATGGACGCGTAAATCACCATGAACATGACGATGCGGCTGCCGGTTTTGTCACCCTGGACGAGGCGCCCCGCGAGCCACCAGTGCCACACCGGGTACCCGGAGGAGATCCTGGTGATGATCTGCACGTGGTAGGTTGTCGCCGCGAGCACGGCCAGCAGCACTTGGGCGGCGGCGGTGGACCGGATGAGGGCCAACAATCGCCCCGACTCCCCGTCGACGGCCTTGGCATCGCCGGGAAGATGCCGACCGCGAAGCGAATCCACCCCGGACTTGACCAGAATCACGAGCATCGGAGTAGCGAGCAGGAATAGCGGCAGGTTGGGCAGCGTCCAGTAGCGGAGGAAACCAACGTTCCTAATCCCGTTCAGTCAGTCAGTCAGATGATTTGTCGTCGCTCACGGAATTTTACGGAATCATAAGACAAGGAGGCAGTCAGTCAGCCTTACCAATAGTGCTGCTGCACGAAGGTGAAAATGCTCGGCAGGTATCCCTGGCACCACGGCCTGGGCAGCAGCAGGTTCTCCTCCCCGTCGGATGCGCCGGAGGAGGAGGAGGGGATGCAGTACCGCAGATACGCCGCGGCCTGCGGGCCCAGCGAGCCCGCCGCCACCGCCGCTCCACCCACGCCAAGCGCTGCCAGCCGACGCAGCGTGTCGATGGCGGTGGGCCGGCGAACGAACGCCGGCAGGTGCCGCAGCACTTCCAACGCGAAGGGGGCGCCGTTGAGGAGCCCGTTGCTGCGGAAGACGGTGGCGGCGCCGAAGAGCACGCCCGCCGAGATGGTGTAGAGGTCGCGGCGGGTGGGGCTGTTATTGCTATTGCTGCTGCCCTCGGCGCGGCAGCCGAGGGCGAAGAGTAGGTAGCCCGAGAAGGATAGCAGCGCGAAGGAGCTCTCCGAGTAAGGGGCTGATAGGAACAGGCCGGCCGGGGAGATGACGTGCAGAAGCGCGGCGACTAAAGATAGTGTCTGGTCGCGCCAGACCACCTGGCCGAGGCGGTAGAGTACCAGGGCCGAGAGCAGGTGGGCCGTGTTGGCGACGAGAATGCCGGCCAGGGCTTCGGCGACGAGGGCTCTTCCTCCTTCGGCCCCGGGTGCGTCGATGATGCCGACATACTCCAGTCCTGGTGGCAATCAGCAACTACGTTAGGGACGGCCGAGCTAGCACCGGAAAGCCCGGACATAGATCCCCCAATGGGCAAAGAGAGAAAAAGGCGCGTGATGAGACAAGCAGCCAAACCTGCCGTCATTGCTCATGACCGACCGACTGACTGATTGATTGGGTAACCCACCTTGAAGCAGCGTCCTCACTACAAAGGGCAGCCCAGCCCCAAATGCCCACTCTTGTTCAAAGACGTAGTCCCGGCGCGCGGCACTGACATAATAGATGGCATCCCAGCTGGTTAGGCGGGCGATTAGCGTGGTTCCAAGACCGGCTGGTCGGGTGGCCGCGTCGCCATTTGCCGGGCCCTGAAGCAACAGCCCTCCCGAGGTGTCATAGGCATCGCCCACGAGAGTGCTGCCGAGAACGATAGCAAAGAGGAAGAGCTTCCAGGCGGCAAAGGAGGTGAGAAGGGTGCGGTAGGGGTGGGTATGAATTTGGGCGTGGGTATGGGGAGTTTGGTGCTTTGGGGCCATCGCGTGTGGCGAGTCGGTCCTGTTCGGGTGGTTGAATTTAGAGTTTAAGTTAGTGTAGTTCATCTGATGTTGGATCAACGCATTGTAAACTTCGGGTCGGATGATTGGCCGAGGATGCTAAAATTGAATCTGAGGCATGTGTTTTGTTTGCTGTGCCTGATGGCAATGTTTCATGCCAGGTGTTGGTTGGATTTGGCGGTTTGAGCTTGGCGGCCGCTGGATGCGACCCACCCACTGCCCGCCTGTTACCCCCACTGGTGGCGCATTTTGGGCTGCTTCACTGACCGCGGCAATATCGATATGTGGCGATTTCGATTGCCGGTTTCATGACGCACAACTGTGGGAAAGCGGCACGCGATGCAACCTCCATACTGTTTATTGCCGAGCTCCGTGCAGACAGCTCTCAGCCTCCAGGTCGTAGCGACAAAATGCGAGATACCTCTTGGTCATAAGTGAAGCCCTCAACCCTGTCGCACACAGATTTGGGCATTGGCTTTAGACTGACCTGTTGATATTACGTGAAAATAGATTTTTGTTCTACACAGTATGGGCGGCCACGGTTCGCGACCGTCGGGATTCAACCGCTTTGTCGACCCGATCTGCTGGCGGCGGGATGGCACGGAGCGGCCGTTCGACAACCCCGACTGCTGACCCAGCGAATAGCCTGGGATTTTAGAACAAGCTGGAAATCTGGAGCCCTCCGAGACTGCCGGAGTGGGTAAATCGGAGCGCGCGGTTGCCGAAACCAGTCATCTCTCTACCCAACAGTCTGCCCGGGCTGCAAACATTCCTGCTTTGGAAAGCGGCTCACTTCCAGGCTGGCCGGGTCTGCCCCGTTCTTCAGCCGCCGTTGCTTGGGAAGGTATCGGGTACCTATTTGGCTGGTCCACCACCATCCAAGGCCGCTAGGGCATCCAATGCCAAAGGGGTTCGATGAAGGATGCCACCTCCTAACGACCCGATCTTGTGTAGCCTGAGGTAGCCCAGGAGACGGTCATTTCCAGCTCATCCTGATGTCGGGATTGGGGAGAGAAATGGGAGATGGTGGGAAGGTGGAACCAATGAGATGGGCCGAGGGCTGCCCGCCTGATTTTGACGAGCTCGACGCGATGTCACAGCGCTCCTCCCAGCTTTCAGGTCTCGACCCACAGATCCCCACCATGCACTCGGAGTTCATAAACCAACCGTCCCCGCGCCGACCCAGTTACGACTGGTCGTCAAGGTCAGGTAATCATACGTCAAGTACCGGATTATTCCTTTCGGGAACACCTCCCTTCCCCCATAACCGCTCGGTTCAACAAAAAGTACAGCTCCAAGGCGACAAGTGCTTTGTTTCTCGACACTCTTTCCCTTCGAGGCGATCGTATACGTCACAACTTTCCGAAACCTACCTTTCCGACGGGCTGAAAGGTTACCAATTCAACCGCGACAGGGCCGCATTGGATTTGAGTGAGAGTCTGCCCGTCCATTGGCGCTGGATTGAGACCGACCGCCCTTGCGCCTGCGACCCCTCAACTCTCAATTTATAACTCCATGGCATGGAATTTCCGGGGTAGCCAAGTATTGCAATTGGGACACTGCTTTCTCTCATTGCCGTTGAGTTCTGTGATACAGTTACAGACGGTTCTTCAAGGGGCGAATTACACAAACCTGGAGCTTCACCAGGCTCACGCGACCTGCCCAGTGGTCGAGGATCCCCGGTTGTCCCCCAGCGAGGCAGGTCCTTAGCATCTCAACACCCGCCTCCGGCCATAGCTTGTCTTCATTTTGTTTTTTCTGCTTCTTCGCAAGGCCTAGGCGTATAGTATTCTAGGACCATGTTTCTGCACTCGGGAGCCAGCCTCCACGGCCACGAATACTCGAATCGCCCTTCTTCTAAGATCCAATCTCCCGCCCACCTCCGAGGCCCGTTACTACGCTCTACCTTCCCGCCACCTAAACAGCGCGCGCGAGCTTCCACGGACGGTACGCCACCGCCTGCCCTTCGACAACGGCCAGCCTCGGATTACATCCCCCGCTCGCCCTCGCCCGTCGTCCGCTTCCAAGACCCGCAGGACGGCCCGCCACCGACACCCTCGACGCATGACGATTCGGTTTCCGAGTCCGAACTCAGCGATGTGACCCATTCGATCGATGGCACCCTGTTTGCCCGCACTGCGCGCCACCGTCGGCCGCGCCGAACCCGGCGCCAGAGCACTACGTACTACCTGGGATATCCTACGCCAAGGATCATTGGGAAGACGAAAGTGGTGCAAAAGCTCTTCCTACCCAGGCTGCTCTTGCAACTGCAGAAAGTATCCCACGGGAGGGCAGGTCAAAACCGGTATTGGAGGTGTTCCCAGCTTCGCGAATCGCGGGACCTGTCGTGGCGCCCCGGTTAGCTAAGCGATTTCCCGGCATCTTTGGTGTCAAGCGCCATCTTGGATATGACGACCTCGTGCTGGTCCGGAGGGATGACGGCGACGCAGGTTCCGACAGTATGGAGTGCGAGAACGAGGAGAATCTAGAAGGGAGGAACCTGCTGGCCGTCTACAGTCCACTACGGCACTCGGAGGAGGCCGAGATCGTGTTGGACGACGGTTCTGTCTGGGTAGCCAGACCCCTCCCCAACGGGTCTTTCGACTTTGTCCATACCGATGCCGATGGTAAGACCACCACGGCGCGGTGGGCGCGTAGGCACACAGCTGCTGTTTCACCTACCACAGACACATCCGCTTCATCAACCGCGCCACAGACACGATACACGTTTAGCATCATCAACCCCCTGACGCGGCGCCATCCGGTCATGGCGACACTTACCCCCTCGACTCTTGATGTCCAAGACACGTATATCTCCGTCTCTCCCTCCCACGCCCGACACCCACCCATCACCCGCGTCGGCCGCTCCCAGTCTGTAACGACTCCTCCATCGTTCGTCCGGGCGCCTTACTCGCCGTCCAAACTCTCCTCGTCAGCTTCCACCAGCGATGGCGAGAACGACTCAGGGGTCTACATCCCGCCGTCGCCCGACCGCGAATCACAACGCACCATCCACCAAATAGACGACACCACCAAAACCCTCATCTCGGTCACCGCCCTCTGGGTATGCCTCCAACCAAGTTGGTCTCAGAACCACAGCTTTTCCTCCTCCACCGCACCCGCCAACCCCGACCCCGCAACCTCGCCATCCCCAGCACCCTCAACCTCCCACCGCAGCCGCGGCAGGCGAAACACCTGGACCACCCGCTCCTCGACCTCCGACGCCCCCCGCCCCGCCGACCTCCCCCCAACCTCGAAACGACTCACTCTGCGCTGCTGCATGCAAAAGCATCTTACACAACCACAACAACAAACGCTACTCCATGCCCGACACCGCCTCCCTCCCCGACCCCCACACCGCCCCTGTCGGTTTGTGTCTCGCGCAACCTCAGCCCAAGCCCCGACCCGAATCCGGACGCCCAGGCCGTTGGATCGCCGGGGGGAGGCGATGGCGCCACAAATCTCGCCTGAGAACGCCGCTAC